AAGCATGTTTCTTAATTTATTTTTAAAAAAAGTCAAGTTCATTTCTTTCTGAATGTTGGAGACAGACATTTCTAAAAAAATTTAAATCTTTTGAAGGATAATAATTACAAAGGAAGTCAAACTATAAAACATATCAAATGTTTGTTTATAATGAGATTATTTCAGATATCCCAAACCTTTAAATGATGTTAAAAACAATTTCATTTTCATCACAGAAGAATTCCTAATTATTAATCAAAACTAATCAACTAATAAATTACACTATTTTATGAATTTATGAGGAGTGTGTGATACACTATATGTACCAATAAGTAATTGTACACATATGAGAAGTTTTTCCAAATTCAATGGTCTCAATTCTATACTGTAAATCATTTTCGTGCGTAAATAAACATAATAAACTACATGAAAACAAAGGACTGATTATTAGGATGCTAAAAAATAATCTAGAACTATTAATAAATATATAAACAAACACTGCAAGAAGCTACCGGCTTCGCACACTAACACCTAATGACAAATATACTAAACTGAAACAAAAATTATTGCTAAAAATTACGAAAAATACTTCATACCTAATTATTAAACAAGGATAATGCAAAAATATAATAAAAATAAATAAAATTTCAGAAATAAGCTTCACACACACGAAGTAAACATATCAAGCATACGAAATTTACACACTGATTCAAAACGCGGGATATGTTGCTATCCTCGTCACTTGATTTCGCCTAGGCGTCTCAATGTCTGTGAATCAACCTCATTACAAATCTTCCTTTTCTGCGTATAATTCTAAAATCTTTCTGATCCAATTTCTTAAAATCCATTTGTTCAGCTATTTCATGTTCGATAGTCAATACAGCTGAATTATTTAATCTCTTAAAGTTGTGAATGGTAAGGATTTGTTAATGAATTTTAATATTGAAGAACTCTCGTCTCTCCATTTACTACACTTATTTACAAACAAAGCAAAAATTTTAATGCAGTAGCAAAATTTGGTGAACATTCTAAAGTTGAAATAAGTTTTATAACTTCAATTGGGTTTTCTTTGTTGCCTAATAAAATAGAAACTGACACTACCTTATTTGCAAGATCAAGCGTGTTTATACCCACTGATTCCTTATCGGCCAAAATTATTTCTGAATTTTTACAGTTTTTAGTTACTAAATTTTTAAAGGTTTCTTTTTTAAATCATATGTATTGTATAAAAATTGAAAACAATAGCTGTGGGTACTCATTTAATTAAATCTACAGTCTAAGGTATTAATTGTGAAAAAATAAAAACTATCTTGAATTTTAATTGAGGGTCGTCCACTGGATCATTTTGTGCTTCATAATAAAAATTAATATTTCTTTGTCGAATTCAGTAATGTGGCTGCGTCATCTCGAAGTTAGCAGGGATCACCTCAAAGTCTAAAGTTAGTCCCGTTGAACAGTTATTTTGTATATCAGAGCATTTCGTCGAAAGCGTCATCCGATCAAAGATTCTTAAAAAATCATTACGACTTCTTAAGAATTTGATGAGATTTTTCAAAATCCTATCGTAAATTTGAAACAAAGAATAAGAAGCCCATATTTTTTACATTCATTGAAATACTGTTCTTTTACGTATACTTAATATATTTAGAAATGGTAATTACATGGCAATACATTCTAACAAAGTAGCTTTTTCAAATTAAAACTATGCCGTCTGAGAATATAACTTAACTTTTTTTCCCAACAAACTCAAATATAAATCTGTATACAGCACGCACAAAATATTGCATGGGTTTAAATAAATTTGAATTTAAAAAAGGTGTTTTACTTATACAATTTCCAAAGAAAAAATACTTTCTCAGATCTCATTAATATAGAACTAGAAATAAATAACCATAGTAAATCAGTCTTAGAAGAACTAACACTAATAAAAATACTTAAAAAGTAGACTGTGATACTTAAATAATAATAATAAATACATTATAGTTCTCAGTCCAATAAAGTTCCGTTTTTTGGCTTCCCCCCAAAATATTTTGTCATTTTGAAATATTTTTAATACTATATATTAAAAATATATTATTTTAGTATAACACATGCAATTATTAAAAAATATATTTAAAATAATAACAAAATAATATTACTAAATTTATCTCCTTTTAGATTATAAGAAAACATTGAAATAACACATTAACTACTGATCTAATTCAAACTGGAACATTCAGAAAGAATTTTAAAAAAGGCCTTTCGGATACTTTAATAAACGATAACACAATGACTTATAAAAATGTTCTAATAATCTCAAAAAGATTTCAAATTTTTTCACTTAAATCAAGAAAAAAGGAGAACAAATCTGCAAATACATATTTTATATTGATTTCGCATTCAGTGATTCAGGGGGAAAACCGAAATTTACTATAAGCAACAGACAAATGAACTGCAATTTTTTTTTTTAATACTGAGAACAATAATGGTGGTTGTGCAATGACTCGTTCCGAAAATGAAAGTTATCTTACGAGAAAAGATTCGTGTCAACAATATTATTTCAATTAGATCCAAAGAAAAGATTGTGGCATTTACATTGTGTTTTGTTTACTAGTTGGGAGAACTAAAATATATTCTAACCCTTTCTTAAGCTCAAAAAGAAATTGTGAAATTTTCTATAAAATTCAAGTTTTTATTCCTTTTTTAAAGGAATTTATCTTAAACGAAATATGTTCCTGGAATATATATGAGCTTCATTAAAACGATTTTCAGCAGTCCAAACCATTTTTTATTAACTGTTTACTTTTTGCAACCAATTTGGAAGTCATGATGTTGTAATTACATACACACTTAGTCTGTTACAAAATAATAGCAATCAAATTTCTAACCATTCTCAATAAAGGCAACATTAATGTGAATTTCAAAGAAGGTATGTGAAATGAAACGATTTTGTTGGTAATTTAGCTTTGAACAAAGAAAAAGACGAAATGTCTCAGAAATGTTAAACAAATTTTTGGAAATATAAGTCAACTTTTTTTGTAATGGAGACAGTGGCATGCACAGACTACTTTCGTGTGAGGGGTTTTTCTCCCTTATAAATAAAAGCAACAGTACATAATCTTTATATCGTAAAATTAAAAATCTCTTGGTAAATGGGAGGGTTTGAAGCCCCAAACCCTCTGTTGTGTATGTCACAGAACAGAAGATTTTTTTTTTTTTTGAAATTCAGAGCTTAAACATGATTTAACCTATTTGGATAGACGGGAAACACACTATAGAAAATCAAAATTGAATAGGATATTCTGGATTATTAGTAAAATATCTAGTAAAAAGGAACTATATGAAGTAGAAATGTGAAAAAAATGTTTCTGCTGTGTAAAAAGAAAACCTGAACGTGAAATAATTAAAACTCTTAATCATTCCAAAAATGCTGTTTAATATTTTTCGAATTAAAAAAAATTAAATGTTTGGATCGAAAAAAAAAAGGAAAAAAAAAATTGGCCACCAATAGAAATTATCAGCTTTTGATAATAGAAAATTTTTTAAGCTGGCAGTGAAAAAATGCTTGTCAATTCTTAAAATAGTACAGCTCGAAAATAATAGTAACTGCTTTATCTTTGCTTACTGGTATATGTTTCTGCTTATAATAAAAATAACTAGAAAACTAAGAATGTCTACTTTTTTTATCTTTTCCCCGTTGATCTGTCATCAACATGAACTAACCATAAAAAAACTCTTAAAGAATAAAATAATCTGAATAATATGGAAAAATAAATAGCTAAATTATTTTTCAAATTTTTGTTCATTTTGCTTATTAATATTGCTTGTTTACTTATTTCCATATTTACTGTCTTGTCTTACCTCCATGGTCACTTAGGTATTATTTTCTGGTTACCTGCTAGTTAAAAAAATGTTTCTACTATCTATATTTTATGATGGGGTGTGAATGAGTGATTATCTAGATTAATTTAAAGTATACCTTTTTTTTTTGACATGCAAAAAAAAAAAAAAAAAAAAAAAAAATTAGTGGCAATGGGGATGATAGTTTTCTCCTAATTCTTCAGAGCCTACTCAACCGTAAATCATAAGTCTTTTATATAAAAACTTTATAATATTACTAACTGTGTTATTGGGTGAAATGTAAACAACTACCATTATGATGTTTGTTCCATCGTCCCAAACACAGTGAGCAGCACATATATCACCAATTGATGATTGACCAATATCGATTTCACGAATGTATCGTAATAAAATGTCCATGTTTGAAGTTACTAATTCACAAAATATGAGCTTTAAAATGAATTTACAATTTTATTCACTTTAAATGTAGAGAATATGTAATGCATTGAACAAAATATTAATTTATAAAATTGTTCAAGAACGAAATGAAATTACGAAATAATCAAGAAATCATCGTTCGCACAATGGTAGCAAAAACTCGCAAACAAACTACTGACTGAAATTTCTATCTTCACTAACTTATGTCTCCTTCTCAACTTCCGTTCGCTTCGCCCAATCACACTTTTCGTAACGCTCTCGTCACACATTCACCAGTTTACTCTCCAAGTCAAGCGTGCATAAAGAAGAATTACTTCAAAAAAAATGTTGTGAATTGTGAGCAATGATATAATGATCATGCATGTTAGTTATTTTGTTGCATGGGAATTAGATATCTTCCCTCCCTGGTTTTTATCTGAATGTTTTCTCCCAGGGGATTGGCTTACAGATCTAAACTCTATGTGTAAGCTCAGTCTTCTGGGAAATGTTGTTGTTGCTAATGCCACCTGATCAGCAAAGTCTAGATCAATGCTCACAAAATTCATTATGCTATCTATAAGGGCTAAGTTATATGCCTGTCCTTAGCCATAGCTTTGAGAACCATACAGGTGACAGCACGATTTGGCTCGTTTCCACTCCAATTTTGAGGGAGAACACCCTGGAGGTGGTCAGGGGCCTCCAACCTCATGTAAGGACTTGCGGCTTGACTGCTATTTTAAGTACACCCATGCTTCAATGGCACCATACATTTACAAACATCCATGCCTTTTTTCCGGGATTCGAACCAGGCCCTACAGCACAGCAGTCAGCATCACTAACCACTATGATTAAAACAGGTGGTAAATAATTTATATTTGAACTGTGTGGCAAAGTTTGAAGTTGAATCTAGTCTTTTTAATGAAGTTGAATTTAATCTTTCAAAACTGAGAGGAAATTCTCAGTTTTGACTGAGACATAAAAGAACATGTCTCGACTGGAAAAAGAATGTCTTTCCAGGAAAAAAATTTATTTGAGGAATGAGAATAACTACCACTCAGTAGCATACATAAGGGTGGGGTTTGGGGTTCAAACCCCTCCCACATAGACCAACAGAGTTTTAGTTTTTTGCATAAGGATTATATCTCGGTACTTTCATTTACATTTTTTAAAAATATAACCCCTCTCAGGAAAGTAGTCTGTTGTATGCTACTGCTACTATTTGTATGACTTAACGCAAGAATCTTGTGAATATTTAACTGTAGGCAGATGAAAGGTAGTTTCATACACTCTATGGCATGGGTTCACTTTCTCACAAATAACAAAACATAATCTACTGGGTTGATGGCCAAGCAAACTCTTTTGTGGATGTTATACGGAAATCTTATATCCTTCAATTACTTTTAAAATGGACAAAATGGAAGTTCAAACTAGATAATGCTGCCAATCATGCATCAAAATCAAGAAAAGATTGTTTAAATTAGAAAAGTTTGTTAACCTTACTGAGCATCGGCTCTAACCTGAAGACCACAGTATAGGTATGGGTTATTTGTCTTGCTAACTATACTAAAGCAATTATTCTGCATGGAACTGGAAGTAGTCAATATGGAGAAACAGAGAAAATAATCTGGAATCTCTCTTCTTTTAAAAATGATTAATTTAATGCGAAATTGTGTTTGGAAGTTATTCAAAATAATGGAGGAGCAACTTTTTTCCAAATTTGCTAGAACTTTCTTTACCCACATACAGTTTTATAATTTTGAATTAGCTGATGTTTTCACTACTTTGCAGTTACATTCCTGTTATTTTTCATAATGAATTTGTTTAATGTAACTTATAACATTTTACTGAAAACTTCCATGTACTGACATGGAGGGCTTTTGATTTAAAAAAAAATGTTTCTTTCATTTGCTAAATAATAACAAGTCTTGTGGGGGTGAAAAAAAGAACAGAGCAGGTATTCTTAGAGTATAGGATTATTAAAAAAATATTACTTTCTCTACGTTAATTTTTATGCTTGTTTTTTTTGAAAATATTTAAGTTTAACACATTTAAACTAAATATTTTTCTTACGTGATTCTAAACTGCATTGAAAAACCTTTCTTTTGATCTATGAAATAATCAATTTATTCAAAATCTAGTTACATAGCTTTCTTGTTGGTTCAAGGGCAACATCAATAAACGAACGGTCCATGAATTAAACCGTGTCTTAGGACCCTTCATGTAGAGAAGCCAGTACATCTTAAAAATATTTTAGACACAGCTCATCTGAAACATCACCTCCCTTTTTTCAAGCTCACAACCATTATTTTTTGGCTACTGCGACTATAATCTGGTGTATAATATAAACTTTTTATTAAAAAAAAGCTTAATTTTCAAGTAATGTTTACATTTTTCAGTTGTTTACAAGTTCTTTTTTGGGTTTTCATTCAGAATGTTATATATGATGACCCCCCTGGGTCACACCTTGAACACCAAGATTAATTTGAGGCAAAGAACCACCAAAAGCCATTTTGAATAATAATATTTATTTTTGTTATAATTTCCTCAAAAATCTCTGATAACAAATAGTATAATAATGTTACGTATTCTAAAGGGATTTGCCTTTATATTAAATTACTAAGAATACAATTAATTACTAATCTAGCTCAAGTAAGGTTTACCGAAATAGGAGATCCGAGAAACACACGCGCGTATTCGAATTCTTAATTGTCATTAACTTTAACTAAGTATCTCAAACTGACGCTTACTTTAAGCGTACGTGAATTATATTTACCGCTGGCTTATATCAGCTTTTTGGTACGTCTAGCAGCACGACGTCTTCACGAATCGAATCTCTTTGAATCTTCTAGTTTTGCTTTTAACGTTGTTGGCTTAATCGCCTACCACCATCTCTCTTGCTATCTCGCAACCCTCGACTTAAATACCTTATCTAATTTAAATATCCCAAACTTCTTTTTGGAGTTGATTGGAAATAAACGCGAATTTATATTCCCCAGAAAGACGCCTTAGAAGATTAGTGGAAAGGTTCCGTACAGATTCGTCACAATCCTCCAAAAGAAAACGGGATTTATTCGAAGGTCCCAAATGGCCTGAAAATAAATTACGTAACCAATTCCTAGACTTGCTTTACAGTCCCGACGACTTTAATATATATATCTACCAATCGGATACTAAAAAATCTCCTTCTTTAAGGGAAAGAAAAAAAATTACGACCTAAAACTACTCTTTAAAGGACGTAACATTTACAGAATTAAATATCCCTACACCACGCCCATTTGGCAAAGAGGCGAGGGAAAAACCACCTAAGTGGAAAAATCTGCCTGCGTGGTTTCCTTAACTACTTAAAAATCTACTTAAAAATATTATAACACATATTCAGACTTGCATCTTGCTTCTTTTGTGGAACAATGTTCAGGGTCAGCTACCCTGAAATGAGAATTTCTTTGTGTGAAAAACAAACATCTATAGTACATACAGATTCCTTCATTTTTTACATAACATTTTCATATACATCGATTGAATCATCTGGTTCCTTAACATTCCCATTCCATATATGCTGCGCTTGTTAGTATTAAATGTTAGCTCTACCTAATTATGCCGCGTCCCCAAGTCACCAGATGTAAGATAAAATATACATATATATATACATACAATTTCAAACATTTTTCAAAAAACAATAAAACAAACCAAAGGAATTGTCGCATCTTAGCGAAGTCATACATAGAAGTAAACAAATGCATTCTTACAAATGTTTTCTCCATATTTATACAAAAAATTAACACAAAAGCTGATTTTTCTCACCAAGAAAAAACACACACTCATTGTAGTGTCCACTTTTGCTTGGCTTCTTAAATTAAAAATTTGCCCGTGACTTGCTTCATTGCAATAATTCTTCCGACCACTTGTTCGAAAGGAGAAAAGAAAGAAACGATACAACCTGATATTTTTCTTTGCTTTTTATTCGCTCCTATCCACTGGATCTCCGTCTAAGGCTTCCATACTGAGACTCCTTCTGATGTTGTTTTGTGGAATACTTGCTAATCCGCTGTTCCTCCGCTCCTCTGGAAATCCTTCGGGTTGTCTTACTCGGCTGCGTAGGTATTACGGACAAGGTCTCACTGCTGTCGTCTCTTTCGACCGGACAGTTCTCCTCTCAGCTGCCCTGTTGGTTCCGTTTTTAGTGGTCTTTGTCTCCCGGGCCTTGTCGTATTGTCCGCTTCCTTCGTGCCTGCTCGCCACTGTAGGTAACTTGTCCTGCCTGGAATCTTGTTGATGAGAAGGACCTGCAATGGGCTGTGATCCCTGGGAGGGGTTATTAGGTCTTCTATATTTATGATTACGAGAGGAAACCGAGGACGGAATAGCTCTTTTTATCCCCTGTTTTGGTTCAGGGGTTGGTCTTTTCTGGTCTCTATGTTCGGACCCCTGCAGAGAACGTTTTCTGCAAATTTTGTACTTTTTAATATTTCTCCCGTCCCCTGATCCATTTGAATCTACTTTACGTTTCAATCTCGGATCCTCCCATCCGGCATTACCCTTACTTGATTTATGACCGTTATTCTGCTCACTCGAGGTTTTCCTAGATCCTTTGAATTTTCCTGGTTGCGATCTACTTGACCTATCACTTGACCTCTGTCCTTCGTACAGTGTCTCAACAAGACTGTCCGAATTAATCGTGTTGGATTGTCGTGGACGGTACACACGCACCTGGTCAATATTAACTGATACCTTTTTACCCCTCTTTAAAATAATTAATTTGTTATTCCGAACCTCCAACACTATATGGCCCTTCAAACTTAGGCATAAACTTTCCAACCACTCTCCTACCCGCAGCACTTATAAAAGGAGTTTGTACCAACACCAAATCATTTACTTTGATGTTAACTTCCCTCCTTTTCCGATTATAATGTTTTTCCCAATGTTTGTGTTGTTTCCGCCTATTCTGCCTTGCTTAATCGAATAATTTCTCAATGTTTCTCCCTACATATTCAGCACCCTCTGTGACATTTATTAATTTACTAAAATGTGTTATAATTTTTCTACCTAAGAATAACTCAGCCGGAGTTTTATTTATTGTTTCGTTCACTGAAGTGCACAGCGCGAAAGCGAACTCATGCAGAAATCGGTCCACGTGAGATATAATTCTCAAAAAAGGCGTTAGCTATGGCCTGGGCCGAAGCTTTTCGTAAAGGAATAAGCTCACTCCACTTAGTGAAATGATCAGTTATTACTAATACAAATCTATATCTTTCGGGTCGGGATGCGGGGTAGGGGCCTAATAGGTCTAACGTTACAATTTCATTGGGGGTAATTCGATACTATCGGAATTAAACGACCAGCTGGTAGCGCAATTTTGTAATTAAATTTTTGACACCGGTCACAGGTTGATACATATTCAAATATATATTTCCTCATATATGGAAAATAACACATGTGTCGCGTAATTTTAAATAGGTCTTCCTCTTTCCTAGATGGCCTGCTAATGTCAGATCATGAAATTCTTTCATTATTGTTTCGCGAAGCGATCTAGGAATATACATTCTTAGTTCTCCAAGAGTTGTATAATATTTGGCGTAAAAGAGTAGACCATCTATAAGTTTAAAATCCTGGGATCAACCCCCGCCTCGCATATAGTCGCATTAATGGAACCGTCGTCTGGGTTTTCTAAATAACGATAGATGTGTCCTAACTCAGGATCTTCCCTTTGCTCTCGAATGAGTTGTTCTCGTGAGTTTAAGGCTAGGGCTCGAAGAGCTGCGCACGAAATTTGTGATCCATCCAAATTGCCTACTGGATTCTCCTAGACAAAACATTCGCGACAACGTTTTGGACCCCCCGGGCGATGTTCCCATTCTATG